CGGATAATTAAAAAAATCATTGGTTAATCTACTGAAAATTGAAAGTCAAATGAAATCTGAAGGGCCAAACAACACATTTTTTTTAGAAGCCTCAGGGACTTCAGTTGCCTGCCATGGGGCTCCAAACTTGGTTGATTTTACACTATTTTCAATGGAGCTTGAATTGGTTCAGTGCACCCTTATAGCAGAGTCATGCGATTACGTGGCTTACAGAGAGGGCCGCGACGTCCTGGAGTTATGCCATGTACTTTCTTGTGGAAAGTGGTTCTTGAGAGTAGACTAGCCCTCATACTCAATGGAAGCGTCCCCTGTTCAAATGTCGGACTTTATTTCCTTTCAGCTCAGCTTTAAAAAATCAAGGGCCACGATTGTAGCCTTTATTCAAGACAGATTTTCCTAGAAAAGTTAAAAATCGGTCCTGCTCTCCTATTAGTTAGCTCCCTTCTTGTGTTCACCATGTCCACCGGAGCTTTATATTCTCACATTTTAAAAATTATTTTAGAAATTTGTATTCGATTTATTAATCTATTTAGATTCTCATTTTCTCCGTGGTTTTTACTGTAATAAAAATGAACTCACATTCATTTCTCTGAAGTGAAATCAGGTTTCTTGTTAATTGCTGGTTATTTACTTTATCCCGTTTTGGGCTTAGATTATGTTTGTTCTTTCCCAATTTTTTGCTTTCCGCTGTGTGACGCACTGAGCTGATGGTCTCGTGTTGCCATTTCCTATGCGCTCCTGAATTACCGTCGGTATGACCAACAGTGACCATTGAATATAACCCATTTTAGCGTTGGACCACGCACGCGTGGTTTTTCACACCACGGACAAAAATCTGGCGATACGGCACTAATAAACGCAAAACTCACGTTCCGTCTCCCGTAAAACGGCGAAATTCACATCGCGATTAGCACCCGAAACTACAACGAAAATCGTACCACGTCACTTTACATGCACAAGGCGGTCCCAACTTATTTTTGACAAGTAAGGGCGACCCACCAATCGGTTATTATTAGGTTTCGTGTGACAAAAATGTCACACAGACGTGCAGTGGAAAAAAAAAACATTACATTCCACTCCGCTATGCGGCGCCCAACGACGCTCTTTTCTTTTTAAATCAGTTTCCCGAGGTGTTGTGTCGACAAAATTGGTCAAAGGACCCGGTATAAATTTGCTCCCAGGATCGGAACCTTTGTGTCCGTGAACCCACATAAACTACGTGTATTTCAGGGTGAATTCAGACCTAGTGTTTCGGGGGCCTACTTTGGGGGATGGGGGAAAATCTGGAATTTTTTTAGCCTTTTCGGTGTTTCTGAAGGGTAAAGCGAATTTGAGGATTTTTTACACGCAAAATTGCCTTTCTTTTCATTAGTTTTCATAAACTTTAAGACGCTGTTCCTATATATTGGTGGATGTCCCCTGTTGTCCCCCCGGTCCTAAGTAAAATAACGAGCAAAGAGTCTAGTCAGTCAAACAGGAATTGTTGTTTTGCCAGGCCCACACTGCATCTCCGGCAAATTAGGGCCTTGTCCAAAACGGGCTTCCACTTCCAGAGCTACTGTCTACGCGTCTCCACGCATTTCCAAATGGAGGGAAGACCTAGACCTAGCTTTAGACAAGAGATTTGGTTGCAGCCTAAGTTTCCGGACGAATGGTTATCGTCCTTCGTGTATTAAGCCTGAAAGATGGTTTCCAGAAGAACCGTCCATTGTGGTAGGAGTTTCATTGCTGAATTTTACAAAGGAGGGGCGCCACCTGACGTTATCAAACGGAGCACCCAAAATAACAATTGTTCTTCTTTAAAAGTAAAACCAGTGCACAGTAAAAGAAAAGTCGGGGATAAGAATGCTTATCTCCTCAAAACTAAACAAGAGAGAATCGAAAAATGGGAGCGGGTGTTCCCCCCCCCCGCCATCAGCCACTGGTTTTCGCCACATACAAACCAATACCATGATAATCAAGACGGATTGGCTTTAGGGCTGGCTAAAGCATTACTATAATTAGTCCATGGTTTCAAGTACAGAGGACCAAGACGCCAAAACGAGCATTTTAACAGCCATTGTATACTGAATCTCCATGTTCAAGTATGGCATGGCTTACACCGAACATTGGTTTGAAACTGTTCTTAATCTTCAGTTTACCCAACTCCCTGGCCCTCTGTGCCTCGTGCCCGCCAGGATGGCTGAAATGGCAACAGTCCTGTTACATCCGACTTGCCGACAAAATGAACTGGTTTCAGGCATACGAGGCCTGTGATCGGCCGGGAAGTAGTTTGGTTGTTCCCAACTCCCCAGAGGAAAATCTCTTCATTTGGAAGTCAATGGTGAAAGGATGGGGTGGTCTGTGGATCGGCTGTACGGATGCGGCCCAAGAGGGCGTTTGGTTGTGCGGGAAGGAGCCTGCAATGTACACTAACTGGCACAAGAAAAGTCCCAAATTCGACGACTCGCTGAACTGTGCCCGGGTGACTGTCTTCCAAGGCGGAGTTTGGAAGAACGATTTGCCTTGCAGCACCACACAAGAACGAAGGTTTGCAGCATGTGAGATGACGGCTGCCGTGGTGCCAACCTACCACGCAGCCATTGATCTCGATGGGCGTATCTCCCCGTGTCTCCTCCACCACGAAATCAAGAATGTGACAGCAGAGGGTGTGCTTGCCTGCGGATGGGCGTGCCGTGCCGAGCCCCGATGCCGTTCCTTCAATCTGTGGCAAGGCCGTGAAAAAGACCTTTGTCAACTTAATGACGTCTCTCGTCGTGGAGTAAGCACTAAATTCAAGAGGGAGGACAACTGCTTTTTCTTTGAGCTGTAGAATCCTATTTCAACAATCATTAAAAATTGGACATGACTTTATGCTAGAAACTTCATATTACTGATTTTCAAACGTGAAGAGGTGCACTGTAATGACCATAAAACTTTGCACATTTTTAGCTTGTTATTCTTTGTTCCCATTTTGGCTGGTTTTGTCAGAACCTGGAACTTTCGGTAATACGGTGGTTATAAAGGTTGCACGTTCATCATTTCGTAAAATTAGAATTGATCGGAGGTCTGTATGTAAAAAGTATGTAAAAAGTTTCAAGAAAATATGTGTTAACTAAATGACTGCCATGCAGCTCACAGTTCGCTTAATAAGGGCACTCCTTTGTGCTAACATGTAACTTGTAATATTTCAACTCTTGGTAGCACCCCTTCCCTCGCAGAATGGCACCGTGAATTTTTAGCTTTTAATAATATCGAAATATAGCAAAGGCTGGAAAAGCTTGGTGAGAGAAATCCTCTCCGTGTATCGGATCCAGAATTAATGGTATAGGTCTTGAGATCAAGGAACGTCCAGCCGGGCCCCATACCTTCTTATACGCCGGTAAAAATATACGAAGCTGTTATGCTCTGTAATCACATGAGTTAGCTTTGGGTGTTGCGACGGGATAGAGGTGCTTGCCTCAAGAAAGGTGGAAAGTTAAAGGGGAGAAAGGAAAAGACAAAATAAACGAAAAATATAAGGAAAGGGAGATAAAAATTACCAATGCGCTCAATCTAGCTCTGGGAATTGACTGCAGTAGTTTGCTGCCTACGAGTGTTTGCCCCTGCCCACCCCCGGAAATTATCCTGGCGGTATCTATGTTCATTATGGAAGTTTCGGAAAGTATTTAACTAAATCTGAGTGCTTTTCGTATGTCTTATGCATTTCATTTCAACCCACGCTTCAGGTTGTACACTAAAAGTGCCGTTCAAAATGTTCAAATGACGATCAAAATTTAAGATGGCCACCCCGCCAAGCTGACATTCATGTTTTCATTATTATTTCACCACAATCTATCGAGTCGTTTAACTACTTTTTAAAGGTTCAAACCCTCAAGTTGGTTACAGAGAAATCATAATAATGGTGAGCAGTCAATGGAAGCAGTTCTTTTACGTCTTGGACACTCGCGTTTTGCCCCGCCCACTATTTAGGTACTTCAAACTAATGCGCGACTGGTGGCAACTCTAAATGCCGTCAATGAAGGGATTGCACAAAATCGATTCGCAAAGTGCGCACGCGACGCGAGCACAGCCAACATAAACAACAGCTGACGTGCCCTCGCTACAGATCGCATTACAAGGTTGATTCTCTTCGCCGCGTGGATTTCCTCGAAAAAATGCCCCAATAAGCGAGCGAAACTCCCTCTGATGGAGGACAGAGTGACAGACCTATAGGCCATGGCCTCAGATCCCAGTCTTCGGACAGTTTTTGAAGCTCTTGACGAAGACAATCTTGGGTACATCACCGACGAGAGATTTTCCGATCTGGCTAAGGAGTTTGGAGTTTACAACCCTGACGTGAGTATCCAAACCATAAAATTTGAAAGATACCTGCACTGATGCAGTGTCACACTAGTGTACTGGATAGCACCACCATTTACCGTCAAAGTATACATAGCACAAATCATTATGAGCAATGCTACACAAAACTGCTTGTTGCTCAGTCATGTTTTTATTTAACCAGTTCAAAACGATTGTGTAGGCCTCTGTCCATCTAAATGAGTTCCAGTAAACCATGGATTTAAGAAAGTTTCCTTTTGTCGGCGAGCATCATGTACACAAAATTTTGATATGTATTAGGACCTGTATATGATAAGCCCAGGCTAATTAGAAAAATGGAATTTGTTCTATTTTTGGTGCATGTTTTGTAAAATCATCTCTAAATTGCCTGTCATCGGAGAAAGCTACATGTTAGCCCTACTGCCTGGTTCTTTTTGTTACAAATTACAATTTTTACCTGGACAGTTCATCCACATTTACAAATTACAGCAATAAAATGCAGTTGGCTGTCAAAATGGTTTGTTTCAAAATGTTGAGAGCAATCATAGTGGTTGAAGGCTGCCAGGTTTTTGTAATGAATACTTATGTACATGTAGATTTAGGGTCTCTTTATGTGCAACATTGTGTGGTATATTAATATACAATATATATTTTTACCATTTGAAGGCCAAGAAAGAATAAATTCTGTTCGCACTTTGTGAACAAACTTGGTTATCAGTGGTCGTGATGGCTAGTATAGATCAGTCCTCTACACAGGTTCATGTATGAGTTTATTGTGAAAGCCTGAAAATGTAGTTGATTGTCATAGAAGTACGTGTTCATTATATTTGCCAAAATTTATTGATTGCATGCACAATAAATAGGGTGGTGTCTATACAGCTCTGATCTTGTTTTCTTTCAGTAGAGTGGATGACTCAGAATAAAGCTATTCCTAGCTACCCCTATGAAAATCCAGATCATGGAAACTATTGATTATTGTCCAGATATTGAATGGACAGTGTGCGCAGTTCAAATACATTGAACTGACAGCTGTGTGCTGTGTATCATGTTAAGAGGTCTGTACATAATTTTCTCGTTCATGCACATAACAGCGGAGTAGACTTTTATCATTGAGGTCATTTTAGTGACCGGGATTGTAAATAATTGATCAAGAAATAGACCAGCTAGAGGTTTCGCTGTGGTTAATAATTTCATGGAGAACAGTTGATTCTATCATTATTCAGCATTTCTTCGTTGCGTGGGATATTTAAAAAAAAACGCAGCACATTAAATATTAACCTTGTGTGGAAAATGTAAACATTAGAGAGTGTGTATAATACAAGAGGGGTACAAATGGAGAAATGGCCAACAGGAAGCTCAAAATTGAAACGTGGAAGTTGTTGTTATTATTCTGTATTTTGAAGTGCATTAAAAATTGAATCCTGACATGTAATTTGTCACAAAACTGGGTACGGAGTTATAATTGAAGTTTTGATTTTCCTTGTGTTATGAATGTAGCTGCCTTTTGAGTTAATACCTGGTTGGTGTCTGTGTGTAAAGTGTTAATGAATTATTTGAATGTGCCATAACTGAGGAGAAAAAGAGGTAAAAAAACTACCCATCAGGTTTTTCTAGATAATTAGAAAGGCCAGACTTAGTTCTTTTATTTTTCAGGAAATGGTAGTAACTTGAGCAAGGTGCATTTTAAACCTTCAGAATTCCCACTGCAAACCAAACAGTTTTAATCCCACAAATGAATAATTTTTTTTTTTATTTTTTATTTTTTTTAGTGTGTATCCAGGAATGTCTCCAAATTCATAACAAAACCCAAACAGATCGAACCAACAGATGGTTTAAATGTGGGCGCTTCTGGGACCCTTTTGTTGTGTCCAAAGCACCCCCTTTTGTCAAAAATCACTCAACGGAAAGAAAAGCCCCAGGTTGTCCTGCACACAAAAACAGTGTGTAACCGTCACCTGGATTGAATAGGCGGTGTTGATGTGTCACATGGCGACAGCAGCTTAAATGGGCTTCTTGTGTCAGGAGGGTGTTGCATTGTAACTGTGGAGTTTTAAGCTGTGCCCCTTAAATTTCAGACTGATTTTTTAATTGCCAATAAATTTGAAACAGATTACAGTGAACTTTCCTAGAGTATCATGTTCAAATTTCAAATACGTTTAATCTGATTTAGTGATGCTTGTGATATTTTGGAAGTTTTCCTTGGAAATCAGTTGATTTTGAACCACAGTTTATATAAATGAATGTCATTTTGATGAAACCCTTGACACATGTACCTCCTTTTAAGTTACCTAGTTACTTTGGCAAATTGTCTGAAACTGTGTGTCCAAAGCGGCTAAGTTCACTCTTTTAAAATAAATGAATAAACTAGGATTTTAATTTAAAAACTTTGAGATTGATGCATTTGAAGATATGGATAAATTTTGTGTTGGACATGAATTCACTTTTAATATGTTAATTTGTTGCACCTGTAAAAATCTGCATTGTCAATGAACTAACATCACATCAACAGATCGTTACAAATACACAGGCCCCAAAAAGAAATCAACCTTTTAAAAATGCTGGTTGGTTTATGTACAGGCAACGTACACGTACACATGTACATCTTATTAATGGGCAGCCAAAGTTTGCAGAAAAATCACCTTTTTGGTTGGTTTTCGATTTTACCTCAGATTTGTTCAAAATTGAGCATTTGTCCCATTAATTTTAAAATAGGGTTGTATTTTCATTTAGTAAAAGTACATGGATTGTGATTATGTGGTATTCTGATAGCTGTGTGGGATTTTAAACTCTTTGTGAATTAATAGTTTACTTTTGTACTAATGGCCAACCATAGTTTTAGCAGCCACTTGCAGGAAAAGCGGGACTATCATTTCACAAGAGCAGACACTATTGTGTGTGAGATGATGGGATGAAAATCCAAAGTGCATATGTATGACAGCGCATCTACACGTCTGTTGACACTTGGAACATTTCACAGAATGATTTAAAATACATGTGACATGTCTGTCAAAATCCGGAAAAGCTTGGCTGAGCACCCAGTAATTTAATGTATTGTATAGATAGCTTATATCATAGAGCTAGGAACACAATGAAGACTGCCAATGGAATCTTCCTGCATAGCACATTATAATACATGTAACTCTGGGATTCTGAAGTGATCTGATTTTAAACACTGAGACACATATCGAATCAGATTGTTCAAAGCCTAATTTAGTCACTTTTTTCCTTTTGAAAGTCATCCACTCTAATCAAACTGTAAAATACTAAAAAGTGATTTTTTACTGGTTACCCAAACTCACTTGATTCTGCTCGCAATGTTAATATGGCTTTCTATATCTGTTGTTTTTTTTTCTGTTAAATTCTTACTGGTGTGTACATGTATATGTTTTTTACTGCGTGGTTGTTCGATACTGTCATACCAAATCAAGAATCGTACTTAGTCAATAAAAAACAGCTATGATATTTTTCTATCTAAATGCAAATTTATATCTGTTGGATGCATGTAATTGAAGGGGTGAAGTGGCTGGCCTGAACTTTGCTTTCCTCTGGAGTTGAAAGCAATTTTCCCATCCAAGGCCACAACTATCAGAAGCTGCTGAGTTTTGGCTCTGAAGCATATTTTGGTGTACATGTAAATATCACGGTTTCATCTGAATACCATGAATTTAAATATTGCTTGAAGAAAGCTATTTCTAATATCTGTACTTAGTTGTTGGTAGTGCATTTTGCCCAAAGCTTAGTTTCTTTATTTATACCTTTCTCATTTAGGGATAAATTGACCAAATTGCAAAGCAACAAATGCAACTTACTGTATATTGCATCACCTTTCTGTCTTCATGATGGCTCGAGTGAAAGACAGACCATAAAAATATTAGACCCCGTTCCATTTCAACAATTTTCATAGAGCTCAGTAGATGCCACGGATGTACATGTAGGGGGCCTACTGTGTACATGTACGTATACCGTACACCAACAGGTACTGGTAGTTGTGTGCTATCCTTTTACATTTGGACACTGATTCTATTCTTTCCCCCATAATTTTAGGAGCGTCATCGTCTGGTCACACTTTTGGATCCACATAACACTGGCAAAATCAGCTTTGCATCATTCTGTCAGGGGATTGAAGCTGTCGTCTCAAATTCATCTGAAAAAGGTAATGGAAGTGCAGGTAGATATTGTATTTCAAGGTTCATTTGCAAGTTACACATGTTGGGCATGATTAGATTTCATAAAAGTACACATTTAAAGTTATTTGTCTATGAAATCTGGAAGTTTACAGTTTCATTAGCTTGAATTTTGGCAGCAGCTTTTTTATTAATCCTACCATCAACTTGACTCATTGGCAAGCTGCGACAAAGCAGGTTTAAAAGTACATTTAAACTCATTATTACTGACTATAGATTAACCTTGAAGTGTCTCTTTGAGGTTGATCAGCCGACTTGAATTATTCATGGAATACTTAAGGTTTAGCTGTGCAGATGAAGACAGTTATTGAGAAAGGTCTTTTCTGCATTCTTTTAATGACATTTATGTTTTTGAATTAGATTTTGAAGTGAGTGGTTTGCTTCTATCTAGCATATCGTTGAATTTAGGGCTGAGTCAATTCAAATAATTCACTATTTGAATATTCAACCTTTAATTTGATCCAATTTTATTTGAATATTCAGTCGTACCAACAGGCAAATGGATGATGAATAAACCATGTATACAAAATCAGTTGCAATAAGGCACACAATTGTATAATCACTATAACAGCTTTTCTCGTCTAGGAGTATCTCCAGCCACGATTTTGCAAGATTGAAGAGACGAACAGTACTTCTTGACCTGTTGAAAGTTTACTTTTAAATTTTTTTAATGAATAATTTACTTTTTGAATCATCGTAAGATTCCTCTCATTTGAATATGCTTAAAACAAGCCTCATAAATGCCTTTTTCTCATTTAAAATAAAAGAAAATTCTCTGTCCCTTTTTGTTAATTTTGCATTTGAATATTCAAAATTCGGAGAATAGTATTCAAATATTTGATAATCTATCGAATATTTGGATATTCTGCACAGCCTTACTTGAATTCCATACAATTCAATTATTTCAATCAAGCTTTGGTAAAAAAAAATCTTGTCGTTTCTTTTGTCCTTCCGCTTTCTTAACACTTGCTTAAATACTCTGTGTGTCATTGAATGGCGTATCCACATTTGATGCCTGTGTGAACCAAACATTGCTTAAATTTTCAGAGTATCGCTGGTTTTCATTTCAACAAAAAACAAATTTGAACGGGACTTGATAAACAGTCTGAATAGGAAGGTGTCTCAAATTCAAGTTGGTTTGCTCCATGGGAAGGCTAAGCTGTATTATTTTACAAAGCATTCAGGAACAATAAGTACGTGTTTTCCCTGGGCTTTCTTATCAGGCGTCAAGAGAGGGATTGTTAGTGTGGAAATGCAGGAAACATGCACCTGTAGGGCCTATAACAGTCTTTGCAGGCACTGCCCCTCAAGTCTCCAATTAATGTTGTGGAGCTCAGTTTATGTTGTTTTTCTTTCCTGAATGGTGTGGAGGTTGTCATCGTACAGTTCCCACAAGCATGTCACATGTAGACCCACCTTTTTGATATTCTAAAAACGATGTCAGAAATGGGCATTGCCTGTGGAATATTTTTTTTTCCTTTGTATTTTGGTACATGTCTGTTGTAAGATGAAAGGTACAATGAGACACGTGCATTTACATGTATGTTTCATTCACATACATGTACATGTGTACAGTAGCTGTACCTCTTCCTTGTTTGAGGTTATAGACAATTCAAAAATAGTTATTGTCCCTTGCAGTGGGTTGCTGGATATCTGACAGAGGGAATAGGTTCATTCACAGTGTAACTGCATATTGAAACTGGTTTTTAGACTTCAGTTTTTGCTTTATTGCTTTTCATATTGGCTCACTCTCTACTTTTAATTTTATCCTGACCAAAATGTTATCTGGATTACTTTTCCTGTTCTGGTGATGAAAAAATGTTTAGCTACTGATCCAATGACCAGTGGTCGTTGAGATTTCTTACAGGTCTTGTGAAATGCTGACATTCCAAGCCATTAACATAACCTCCCCTGTGTGGTTTAGCCTGTTTATCTGGTCCACTTTCAGTCCACTTGACTATAAGGTACACCTACATGTACATGCACATGTATGTAAATGTACATGTACAGTACATGCAGGGATCTCCTAGCATAGACATTGGTGGACACATATGGAAAATGTCAGTCTTATGGTCATCAAACTCCTTTTCAGTGTGCCTTTGATATACAACCAGATGGCCAAGGCATTCTTGACCTCTAACCCCAAGGCAGGTCAACTTTCTACCCTCCTGTGCAGTCCCTTAGTAAAGCCCCTTGAAGTAGTGGTTCTGGTACTTTTCTTTTAATAGTAATTAGTAAGACTGTCAAAGTTTGAAAGGAAACTGTTAGCCGAATTGCGCTTCCCTCCATTTCAGTAGTGTAACATTCAATGTTGTACGTACTGATGTTAAATCTTTCCTTTTATTTTTGACGTACCGGTCCATCATTATGTTCTATTTGCTATCTCACTTTTATTTCATTCGTCACTATTTACTATTGTATTTCAGTTGATTTTATTTTGTCTTCCATTTCCATTTGCTTTGCATAGAGGTACATTTAATTCGCTTTGGGAGGTGAAGACGTGGGGTTGAAATAAGTTGTGAAAGCTCATGTGTAATGTTTGTACTTTTTTCTAGCGCTACCTAGAGAGCCTCCTTTGATTCTCCCTGATCATTGGATCGGAAGCAAAACGATCATTGACGACGATGATACTCACAGCATTGGGGTAAGTGTACATGTCACACAAGAGGAGGCCTATGGAACGCAAAGAGAATTTTCCTTGAAACTTAATCAAGAACGGTTAAAGCCCTAGTTTGGAAATCAGACAGCTAAGAGATCAGACAGTTGATATGTGTCACATACATATACATACATCAGCACATCATGTACTTAAGAACTTTAAACATTCAGGAAATCTGAATTGCGTTGGCCCATACACACTATAGGCACCATATCTCCATATACATATATGCCTGTAGGTACAGTACAAAGAGATGAATACTTAAATGTACACCGTGTAAAAAAAAAAATTCAGAGTCTGTTGTATAAAGAAAACTATTTTTAAAAGATAAGAAAATGGGTCTGTTGCAAAGATCTCTATGGTGATGATGATGAATTTACAAGTTAAAAAATAAAATGTAATGTAGGTTTGTGGAATTGCAGTTTAAGACTTGGTGTGTTAGAAAGGATAATGACAAAGCATACATGTACATTGAGATGAGAGAGTGAATGAATTCAAGCACAAATCTCTCGCATATTTCTGCGAATATGCTGAGTTTGTAATTGCAGCACAACAGTCTATCCTCCTTGAGTATGGGCATTTGTACAGAAATTCACCAGGAAGGTGAATTTCAATTTGTTTCCTCCTAAAAATGTACCATTTTCTAGCTTGTCATCTGAACGTCAATAAATCTAGTAGCGCTGAGACCGGCTTGATTTCTCTTGGGAGGATGGAAGGGCACTCCAAAATTACGATTGATCCGCCCAATACTTCATCAGAGCAGGCTGTTCCAATAAAAATAATTTCAAGGAATTTATTGACCTGTCAGGTTGATCTCAACTCTAGCTGAGTGCTCTACCATTATGAAATTTAGACGTGCATTGTACTCCTGGGTTTCAACTTTTATAGAGGATGTCGGATTGATTTGTGGTGAAAAAAATGATACATTTATGCATGCACAGTACGTTGTAATGGAGTGCTTGTTGTTCGGCACACATACTTGTACATATACATGTACATCATACAGGTAGTTGTAACAAGAAAAGTGTTGGAAACTTTTCTTTTATTCATAAAAGTATGCATTTTTGGGAGCCCTTATTGGATTTTTTTTTCTTTTGCTCTCGCCCTTACCGATTCTATTTTTAATAATGTGGCTTCATCGGTGCAAATGTGGAAATCACCAAGTGTGATGTTTATCCATAAAAAAGAAGTTAATTCTCAATTAAGTACGGTAAATCATCTGTCATGAAAAAATGCATTGTTACCTTCTCTTCCTGTCATTTGTTTAAATAAAATTCCAGATCAAACTCCCCCTCAATATATGTGTGATGTAAGTGCATATATACTAGGCAAAGTGTGCCCGCACTGCAGCCGCATTTTTGCCAGCATTTTGCTGGTATGGCCGCATGTAAAGTTGCATAAAATTTGACGCAGAAGGTTTCTCATACATTTTATGCAATCCTGGAATAGACAGCCTTGATCACTTCAGAAAGAAACTGTCAGCTATTGTGCATTTCCATAAATCCATGGATGCTTTCATTTCCATATAAGGTGAGGCATATGTAAGGTTGCTGGAACAAGTGCGCATTTCATCGTTGTGCAAGGCCAGTGAGACCGTTATCCTACCATCTTGTGTTGGGATCTTATCTCCCTTGTCTCATCTCCTCCGGGGCTTAATTAATTGCATTATTGCACCTGTGCACTTGTACATACCCGGTATGTCTCATGGTGCTTTTGCTTTAGCATATAATGTGTACTCTCCACATATTAAAATAAATGTATTCTGAAGCAAAATCTGTACCATTCTGTGAAGAACTTTGGGTTAGAATCAAATAAGTGAAAATTGAATTGACAATGAATGGAGTTCATTGACTTTATACATGTGTAGTTAACCTTGTTTGTTGAAAAACAACAAATTGGTTGGAACAAAATTAGTCAAACTGAATGAAAACATTCTACATGTACATGTGTTTGATGCCATACTTTATTTGCTTAAAACTACAGGATTCATTTTTCTGAAATCAAAGATTCTGTTCGTGTTTCCGATTTCCCTTTTGCTTACCAGTAGAGACACATGTAATTTGATGCAGGGGAGAAATTTGTGAGATTTAAAGCACCTCTCAAGAGGGTTCAGTGTTGTACATGTATACAAACGTACAACTGATGCTTTTTATCAAGTAAAAATTGTAAAACCCAGAAGTGAATTCTCTATTTCTTTTATCAACCAGATTCATATGTCAGGAAAATGTCCTAAACCTTGATCTATATTTCTTTCATTCACACAATTACAAGTTCGCTTTGTAGAAACAGGCTACACATATCTGCATTTACACATTGTCCATGGCCGTGACATCAACACAAGCTGCCTAGCCACTGCCTTGCTAGTAATGTATTTGTGGCTTGTCAGGTGTTGCTGTAACCATAGCAACTGTGTGTACTCAAGGATGCAGCAATTAAATAATGGATGCTGTTGCTACGGTGACAGTCCGGAAAGTTCCGGATATTGAGAGTGCTCATTTAGCTTGATTGCAGGAGTTTAATAGTGGAATTGGTAAGGCATGTGTGACCGACTATTCCAAACCAGGCTGAAGTAGGTAATTCTGACATCTGACAATTCTTCTATCCCACTTTTTTTCACACTTCAAAGCGATCCAAAGTCTACATTCTGTCTGCAGAAAGCTTTGATAATGACAGGCAATGACAAGTGTGGAACTCCAGTTAATATGAACAGAACAATACTTTTTTTTTGGAAAAAGTTTTTTAAAGGAACTGTACATACATTTGTACATGTGTAAATTTGTAAATAGGAGTTCAATGAAGTATGTATGACAAGACACATACAAAAAAACTACAACATAAAAGCCCATTTTTGCTGTGAAGAGACATTTCCACAAAGTAAATTACATTTTGGAAAATTGTCCTTGTTCATTTTTATGAGAATTTTTTTTATTAAAGGTTCTTTTTTACAAGCTACGTGTACTAGGTGTATTATTTCATTTTTTTGATACATGTACATTATTAGAAACATTAATTTTTATGAAATTGTTTTTAAGTTAACGGTACCAGAACATTTAGTTTAAATTATGGGATGTGTTTTTGGATAAAGAAAGGTCTATTTCCAGATTTGTTTTCTGATCAAGAAAGTACCAAATCACCAAAATGCTGAAATTTTGAATTCTGTTACATGTACCAGTATATGTACATGTACATGTACATCGTACATGTCAATAGGCCTTAAAAATGGAAGTTTAAAATAATTGCTATTAAAAATTTCACTACCCTGGCCCTATTGAGGATTCTGAAAAAGAATTAAACCACCAGCAATGAAAAGGGCTAACATGTATCATCATGATCCAGGGACATGCAGAATTCTGTGCACAATTGTCATTTTAACAGCCAGGTTGTATTGGTGCAGTACATGTAACTGGTAAAGTCTGTGGCCATTATGCATCAGAAAAGATTTTTGTGGTTGATGTCCACTACGTTTATGCAGGGTTCTGTTTAAAAAAAAAGGTTGTGATATGGAATGCCTGTGATTACATGTACGCCATTGTTCAAACAATTTTTAAAACAAGGTTAGGATATTTACATGTAAATAAAATTTGTTCCCTTCCGTAAAAAAGGATAAATCTATAATGTGAACTGCTGATGTAATGATCATATTTCACAGACAAGGGGAACCACACCCATGTACATTGTAACTAATAGATTCATGTCAAAGTCCATTTCTTAAGTGCACAGCTGTGGCTATGCATAAAAAAATGAGTACAGGAAAATTGTGAATGCTGCCCTCTGTTGACATGTAGACAGCTTTTGAAGTTGGCTTCAGCAGAAGATTTTCTGGAGAGGTTTTGGCAGCTTCTTTATTTTGTGGACGTGACATGAAAACCTTGTTTGATGGCTTGCAGAAAACATACAAATGAGATACAGAGCACCATCTTGGAGAGTAACAGAAAGCAATCACAAATGTACATTTTACAAATTGCAAAAATTCCAGTTAGTCACTCGAAAAGAGTAAAGCGTACTTCTCGTACATGCAGTGGTAGAATTTCCACAATATCGCATATATACCGGGTATAATCATTCAAACCTTTTTGAACAGGAAGGATACAATTTCACTAAAACAGAAATATTAAAATAAATGTTTATACATGTAGTTCCCGAAATGGAAGAAGTAGACATTTCAATATTCTTTGGTATAAAAGCTTTTGGAGCAGTCCATTGGATCCTTACCAAAAATATATATCCCATTCGTATGAAATATTAAAGATCAAAGTTTTGCAAGTCTGAACTCCTTTTTTGACTGTTTAATTTCCCAGAAAAACGGGTCAAAAAGATGACACTTTATCTGAAAATGAAAGATTTTTGTTTGGAGATTTTTTGGGAGGGGGGAGAATATTAGACAAGTTCTTATGTTTTTTCTTTATTTAATCATATTCTCAAAACACACCTTTGTGATTGATTTCTTTTGTATGGTTCCCTTAACTTTTTTCCTATAAATTTATGAGCTATCTTTGTATATCATGTTCTGTAAAACACAGTGATTAGACAATAAGCACTTTCATTCATCATTATTATAAATGTATTCATCATTATTATAAATTTGGAAATTGTTAGAGAATTTCACACAAAGATTTGTGGCATGTAATTTTTCAAATTTAAATCAAATCTAGGGGAAGCATTTGCTAGAAAAGATGAAACAGTGGGGGGGTTAGTTGAATTTGAGGGAGAGTTACATGCACCTGTATCTCCAACCTCTCTCAATGGGATGCACATGAATATTCTATGTCCATTTCTTGATTTCAGGGATTTGCTTGTACAAGCAAAAATCTATTTCCACAAACTGCAATCAATATTCAAAGACACGCTGCACCAGTAGCTATGTTTAGAAGAGAGTTTGGTGTCTGAAACCTTAGATATACATGAATGCACATGAAGCCTGAGGATGTTGGACACAATTCCATCGCCAACTCTTCAGCAGATGAATGTTAACGTCCTCATAGAAT